CTCTAGAAACGATTTTGATACGTTTGCCAAACTTATAGAAAAAGTTCGAATAGTTGAACTAACTTTTATTGAAAAAAAAGTCACACACCCAGTTCAGACTTTTCCACAAAAACAAAAAAATTGAACCGAGTACTCCATCAGGTAGTGGAAAAACTGTTCAATGTACATATCGCAAAAATTATGGTCATAATAGAGAACAATGTAGGGAACTTCAACGTCAACGAAATGATACTCTGAAAGAAGAGGTTAAACAATCAAACCCATTTACCAGCACAACTCAAAAATTCGTTTGAGGTCTGAATGGGTAATAGGTTTTATTTGGTTGAGAAGGTCTTATAGGGGTGATTCTTTGTGTCGGTTTGAATGTTGTCTGAGAATTCGAAGTATTTGATCGTTGAGTTGAGTAGAAGACATTTTTTTCCTCTATCACAAGACTCATAGCTCTTCCAAGTCTGTAAGGGCTTCTTAGTCTCACGTTTGTTAGTTACTGTCCGGGAAGTCCACGTATAAATGTTTTCAGAAATAGATTATTATAATTTTTAAGCCAAACATTTTTCTCTTCTGCGGACATTACTAGAGTATTTAATTTCGAAATAATCAGACTTCTTGCGTCTTGGTAACGCATACAGAAATTGTATGGGCTCTCATTTCTTGATGGTCTCAAAAAAATGAGGTCTTGCAACAAACAATCAATATCACGTTGATCGCCGAAACTTAATAACAAAGCTTGCTTGATTTCTGTCCAACTTGTAAGTTCTGTTCGAGATCCTATTGAAGCAAGGGCTCTACCAGTGAGTTTGCCCGTAATAGCTCTTAGCAGGAAATTATTCATCTCAATATCATTTTGAGTTACAAATGTATTGATGAGACTTTCACAGTTCCCAATGAAAATATTGATGAGGGTGTGAGGGTTACCATCATATGGAGGAATCGAATCTATGTACAGTCTTAATAATTGGTAATTTGTTTCTGGCATTTTAGTTGAGTCTGAATCTATTTGAATTGTTTGTAATAAAGTGGTTAGTGATTCTGATTCAGAATCAGTCATAAAAATTCAAATGAGCAGTGACTATAAAAACTATTATTATAGGTTCCAATAGGGAAATGAAAGGGAAAATTGAATAGCACTTACAGTAATATCGTGATTTTCATTCTTGGTTTTCTTATACTAAGTGTTTCTATCCTAGATGCCTATAGGTTTGGAAAGCGATTTTCTTCTCCCAGGACTTTCTGTTGGCTTCTTAGATTTTGTTTTCCTTCCACACTGTTCACTTGTCTTAGTCCAGTAACGAAGCGATCCAACTATGAACTGTCTGTTCTCGATCCGATATGCCTTCGAATCTAGTTAGTCTTTTTCACTACCGAACTTTTTGTTTCGTATCCCGATAAATCGTTGAAACGAAAAACTGCCCGTGCGAAACGAACAATTTTCAGGATCCTACCGACTGCGCCAGTTACAAGTTACTTTCAGCAAGGAAGCTTTTTAAAAAACGAAAAATCTTTCACAGGGTCTTCATTCACTTGCGAACAAGACAAACAACAGGCAAAGACTGAATTCAAATATATGAAATGCTACAAAATGTAAGCTCATTTATGATGAGTTTGCAAAGATTACAGTTTCGTCGAAATAAGCTGGAAAGTGTCTGTAACTAACATAGGAATATTTCACCATAATTTTATTCTGATGTAATACCGTCTTATCTCTAGAACGTATCTCTCTCTTTGCTTTACCTATACAGATCCGTTGCAAAGATAAGTGCGCGCCAGCGATGGATATTATTTTCGACTCGAAGTTTCTCATCTCTGGAACGCATCTCTAGCTTGCTCTACCTCTATAGATCCGTTGCAAAGATAAGCGCGCGCCAGCAATGGATATTATTTTCGACTTGTAGTTTCTTATCTCTGGAACGCATCTCTTGCTTTGCTCTACCTCTACAGATCCGTTTCAAAGATAAGCGCGCGCCAGCGATGGATGTTCCGTTTGAATAGCATTAAAATAATTGAAATATCACGGAGGTCGGAATACCACAGTGCGAATATACGCTGCTTCATAATGCAAAGGTCCCTTTTTCAATCCTCCAGCGATGACAGCTTTTTTCAATTCATTAGTTCGTTCGTCGGAGATGGATGACCTTGAAAGAGTAAAAAATTGCAGAACAGACCTTGAAATTCGCTGAGAGAGTCCGTAGATCTAGGGAAATATCTGGTCTTGTTAACATCCGTAGAATCTGGGGAAAAATGACTTTGAATTTTGAAAATTGCAAGAGTTCTCTCGTAGCTCCTTTACTCTCTTAGTTTAACTTCTGAAGTGTTTCAGGAGATTCCTCAGGAATACATAATTTGGCTAAAAATCAATTGATCCACTGTTTTAGGAGAGGTATCCATTTAACGGACGCACTGTGTAAAAACCCTATATGTAATATATTCTTGAATGTAACTTCCGATCTAAGGATTCAATAATATATGGGCTGTTTCATCTAAAAACAATGTTGTGAACGTGTCATGAATGGGAGAAGTTGAACATCAAAATTCACCTGCTTCAGGAAATTCCTCAAAAATCGATAGTGTGGCTGAAAATGTATGTATTCAGTACTTTGCGAATGCATAATATACCCTATAGCCTTGTTTTTTTACATTGTATATATGTTTTTTTTTTTTTTTTTTTTTTTTATCGCTTGGAGCGCACGAGAGGGAATCCCTATAATGTTCAAAGAACATCGTGCACTCCTAGGGAGGATAGGGACAGGAGGTAGGTATTGGAATTTTTTTTGAACTTCTGGAGATTATATGTTGTTGGGAATACTTCCACAGGCAATGAATTCCAGAGCCTAGCTGTTCTATGGATGAAGGAGTCTTGATAAAGTGCTGTTCGACATCTTTCGAGGTTGACAACGAAACGATGTGCTGACTGGGCTTGTCTAGTTCGTCTGATTGGTATTGCTAGTGAAGGGATGATAGCAGAGATTTCCGAAGAACATTTCCCGTGGAAGTATCGATAGAAAAGTGAAAGGTCGCCGACCTTTCTACGGTGTTCTAAAGATGTCAAAGAGTGAGTGAGTGTGGCGTCACCCACCAGGCGAATGGCTCTTCTCTGGATGGAATCTAAGAGCATCAGCGTATGTTTTGGTGCTGAACCCCATATGTGGGAACAGTATTCTAGAACAGGTCGTATCTGCGCTTTGTAGATCATGAGAAGCTGTTGAGGTGTAAAGTAGCTTTTCGCACGGAACAAGAATCCGAGTTTTTGGGAAGCAGCTTTTGCGATGGATCTGACATGATTATCCCATGAAAGAGTGTTGCTGATGGAAATACCGAGCATAGATATGGTGGGCTTGGTGGGGATGGTGGAGCCTGACATTACAATATCGGGCATACTGAGTTCCGCCTTTCTAGAGAAAATGCAGGCTTGAGTTTTGGTGGCGTTGAATTCAACTAGGTTGTTTGTTCCCCAGGCTGTGATTTCAGCAAGATCTTCATTGACAGCATTGACCTGCCTGCGCCGTGAGGTCTTAGTTTCCTGGGAAGAAATGGGAATTCTGGAAGAGAAAGCAGTATGGAGGGTACTATCATCTGCAAAGCTGTGGATGGGGCAAGTTGTTACTCCCAACAGATCATTGATATGAAGAAGGAATAATGTTGGTGCCAAAATTGATCCTTGTGGAACGCCGGAATTGATGCCAATGGTATCAGACGATACACCGTCCACCACCACGTGAAGCGATCTGCCTGAAAGAAAACTCGATAAGAGATGGCATAGCTGAGGTGGTAAGCCGTATGATGGTAGTTTGTGGAGGAGTCCTTCGTGCCAAACACGGTCGAATGCTTTCGATATGTCCAACGCGACAGCTAGAGATTCCCCGTGTTTTTCTATTGAAGATTGCCATAAATGGGTGACGTAGGCAAGTAGATCTCCAGTAGATCTTCGGTGGCGAAAGCCGTATTGTCTATCATTGATGATTCCTGAGCTCTCCAGATATTTGATAAGCTCAATATTGATGGCTTTCTCCATCACTTTGGAGATTACTGATAACAGGGCAATGGGCCTGTAGTTGTTGGGCAGGTTCTTGTTCCCTTTTTTGGGGATTGGTTGGACTCTAGCTGTCTTCCAGCATGATGGAAAAATACCCGACCTGTACGAGATGGTAAACAACTTGCAGAGAATCGGTGTTAATTCTGGTGCACATTTTTTGAGGATAATGGGTGGAATTCCATCAGGACCGTTAGCCTTATTCGTTTTGAGACCAAGCAAAATTCGTCTGATAGTGCGTTGACGGAAGACGATTTCGGGCATTCGACTCTCAACGGGTGGAATGTCTGGCGGCACTCTTCCTTGGGAATCTAAAGTAGAGTTTGCTGCGAAAATTTCTGCAAAAATATTCGCTTTCTCCTGCGATGTTGTTGCTAATGTGCCGTCGGAGTTGGATAGTGGTGGAAATGAACTGTTAGTGAAATTTCTTCCGACCGCTTTAGCAAGGGACCAAAACGAACGGGAGCCATTGGGACAATCTATGAGTTTCGATCTGATCTTGGCATTGTATGTTTCTTTCGAAGCATCTATTGTTTGGCTGCAGTTATTCCTGGCATCAACGTATTCTGCTCTAGTCGCGAGGTTAGGGTTTTTGCGCCAGCGATGGTAGGCTGTTTGTTTCAAGGCAACAGTTCTAGAACAGCTTTTGTTGAACCAGGGTTTCGAAGGTGATGATCTTTTCGAAAAATGAGGTATGTATGTTTCCATTCCGAGCATGATGATCTCGGATACTTCCGCAGCACACTGTGAAGGGTCCTCAGAGTCAAAGCATACTCTATGCCAAGGAAACTCGGAGAAAAACATGCGGAGACCGTCCCAATCCCCTGAATTGTAATGCCATATAAGACGTGAGGGTGCCGGAGCAGTTGATGGAATGAAAAATGGGCAGGTTGTGGAGATGAGTGTGTGGTCAGAATTGCCAAGTATATATGTACCTAGTTCTAGAGAGATGATGAGGAAAAAAAATGAACATCCCACTAACACATAATTTATTTGGTCTGTTTCGTTCAGTTCACAAATTTCTTATTCTCATTTGCATCATAGGGAACTTCGTGTCCCCACTTATAATGTGATCCGTCTCCTTGGTTTTCAACCACTTTCCTGACCAATTCCTCAGAAGGGCTCTTGAGGTCGTAGGCCAAACCAATCTTTTCGAAAAAGTCTATCCAAAGTGCCGTCGCGTTCAACATTTTGCCAAACTCAGCCGTCCTATAGTCCCAAGGGAACGTATGATGGTAGTTATGGTAACCTTCTCCCATCGCGATAAGTGAAACCAACAGATTTTCACTTGGATAGATTTTCCTGTGGATACAAAAAACAATTGTGAAACCAAGATTGAAACAGTGGAAGTGTGTAAAGGCTCCACCATGTATCAAGTCATGCTATCATGTTCCAGTTCGTGTGTCGATGATAGCATATTTGTGGAATATAGTGCAGGGGTTTCATAGTTTTATGTCGTGTCGTTATATTCTGAAGTAATAGGGCTCGTTTAGCATATCACAATGTATATGGAATGTGATGAAAATGATGAAAAATTGTTATTTTACAGGATGCGCCTCTCAAAATGGAGCTGCCCCTTGAATGTTTTGTTCTCAGAGAAATGCAAAAATGATAGAGAAAAAAGTTTTTGAAACGACCCAAACTTCCATTTCGTGAAATTTTTCAATATACAGGGTCATTGGTTTTTCCGGAAAGGACATGAATTTTGATTTTTTTGTAGGGAACACCGTATACAGGGTGTCCGGAGATAAAACCGACAAGATTAATGGGGTTATAGGGACTGTCAATATGATTGCAAAATGCGATAAACCAAGGTCCAAAACCGCTTCGTTATTGACATACAGAGTGATTTATGGATTTAGACAAAAAATTCAAACCGCCATATCAAATACAGGGCTTAACCGATTAGATTCGAATTCGGTACACGGATTACACTGAAAAGCATCAACAAGTAGCTCTCTGATCGAAACCAATATCAGGACCGGAATGATATTTTTTCCCTATTTTGAGTTATTGTGAGAATAAGTCACCCTGTATAATAATATCCAAAAATTCCAACTCAGATACGGAATCTACGGTGAAAATTGTATAGGAATTTGTAAGAAAATCTCCTGGCACCATCGTAGTGATTCCGTAATTAATTATTATTTTAATATTTTTCATTCAAAAATCAATTATTGTCGGATAGAGTACCATCAAAATTGGTAATATAATAAATATTGTCCAAAGGATGATATGAATATCGTTATTTTCTTCAATCAGTTCGTAAATCGTAGTAGAATAAAATACTCTCATAACCCGAAAAAACTGATGAAAAATGATCGGACTAAACTTTCAGATAATGAATTCGAATGAGTAGCTTATAATGTTTGTGTAAAAAGAATACTAGGCTTGTGTCAAATACAGAATTTCATTATAGAAAACCATTGTTAAGCTGTCATAAGCGTTTGTTCTATTGGTGTTCATTCATTATTCCAGTGTTTTTAGGATCGAACTATAGTTCTGGGAGTGTGTTTATGATGCCATTTCATTTCACTAATGAGGAATAAGCAGATATTCTATTTGTGTATTGGCTTTACCTGATGATGTTCACCTAAATTTCCTTGTCAATACTTGCAAGATGTAAATACCTGGGGTATGTGGTTTCAGCATGATGGTGCTAGACCTCAATTTTCCGTTCCAGTTAGAAATCATCTCGATGCCAATTACCCCAATTGATGGATTGGCCGTGGAGGTCCAGTAAATTAGCCACCGCGATCCTCTGATCTAACTAAGCTGGATTTTTTCTTATGAGGTCATTTGAAGTAAGAAGTTCATAATGAAGAAATTAGAATTATAGAAAATTCAACATAGAAAATTACTGCTGCCTGTGTTAGTATTAGGAATAACCCTCAAATAATTCGCAAGTCAGTGAATCATTTAATAGCACGCTCTCAAAAATGTATTGATGCTGGAGGGCTCCACTTCGGAAATGTTTTGTAATACTGGGTAGTGAAAGTTTTTTACGATTTCATTGGTTTTGTTATGTTCATTAAGAGCAGTCATTGTTCGTTGTGTGGTATTTTCATAAATTCAAATTCATTAGTGAGCGAATATAATTTACGAAAAATTCACTCTTATCCTTTGTCAACAGGTTCTTATACGATTTTTTTATATTCCGAATCGACGATCAGATTATTGATAATTATTGATGTACCTACTAGGTCAGCTAATATAAACAAAAAAAACTCATTCCAGTCCTGATACGAATTTATTCTTCAGTTTTTTCGGGTTATGAGAGTATATTATTTCACCACGATTTACGAACTAATTGAAGAAAATAACGATATTCATATCATGGTTTGGTTAATATTTATTATATCACCAATTTTGATAGAACTTTATTCGACAATAATTGATTTTTGAATGAGAAAAATGAAAATAATAATCAATTACGGAATAACTGAGATAGTGCCAGAAAATTCTTCAACAAATTCCTATACGATATTTACCGAAGATTTCGAATCTGAGTTCCAAATTTCGGTTTTCATTATACAAGGTGAGTTATTCTCACAAAAACTCAACAGATGGTAAAAATATGATTCCGGTCCTTATATTGGTTTCGATCACAGGGCTACTGCTTAGTGCCTCTTACTGTAATCCGTGTACCAAATTTGAATCCAATCGGTTAATCCCTGTATTTGATATGGCGGATTGAATTTTTGGTCAAAATCCACAAATCACTCTGTATCTCAATAGCGAAGCGGTTTTGGACATTCGTTTATGGCGTTTTGCAATCCTATTGACAGACCCTATAACCTCATGAGTTTTGTTGGTTTTATATCCGGACACCCTGTATATTTTCTAACATGTCGATGAAACCCTTTTTTTCTGATTTCGAAAATATATATGAGTTGCATATTTGGATGATAAATAGTTGAGTTATTAACGATCAAAGTTTTTCCAAAATACTGCTTTATGAACCATCACTTTATATCATCTTAGGGAAGTTGAAAAAAGTGGGCTTTGAAATAATGTCTACATATTGTTTGAGCTGCATGAAAATGTCATGATATAGTTTATTATGGAATTGAAATCGTCTTATCTCATTACAAAAAAATATGAATAGACAGTTTGAATGGAAGATGCGGTGTTTTGGTAAACTTCAATCATCAATAACTCAATTATTTTCCATTCAGATATGCAAATCATATATATTTCTGACATCAGAAAAGAAGGCTCTATCGACATGTCGAAGTTAATGTCCTTTCCAGAAAAACGAATAACCCTGTAGAAACTTCACGAAATAAAAGTTTGGGTCATTTCCTGACAACTTTTTCATTGAACAATTTATCGCATTTCTGAACACGAAATATTTCAAGAGGCACACCCTGTAGTTGTACATCATTGTACTAAAATGTTTTATCTCTTCATTATCAAAAACCAGTATTTCGCCTTATCAATCTCTGATATATCTCATCTGGTGCAGATATTGTATGAGCAGAACATATTTTTCTACTCGTTTATTCCAAAGAAAAAAACCGTTATTCTGTTTTGAAGAAATAACCTTGTTATTAGTAGACCGATTGATTGAAATTGGTATACTTTGAAAGATAATTGAAGAAGACAAAAGATCGCCTTACAACGTATGCAAGGCTCTGTCGCAGCAGTCGACCTTTCCCTTGCTGCTCGTTCCCGCCAAGGGAGTCGATCCGGGGCTTCAGCTCCAACTGAACCGCCCACCCGCAAAGGAAGACGTCCTGCGGCTCAGCCCACTCAAAACACCGGCTTGAAGAACCCGTCCACCCCGGCCGCAGGGTCGAGTGTAATCAGTGAGCCCAAGCAGGTGAATTCTTCCTTACAGGCATACAGGGAATGGAGAGCGGCATATCGTCTGCTATAGAAGCGAAAAGGCACACTCGAGAAGGAGATATCTAAAGGGCAACTGGCCTCGAGAGAATGGGCTAGAGAAGTTTTGCAAAAGCCGCCGCGCGACCCCGGAAACCTGAAGTCGAAACTGCAGCTAAACCAGCAGGTATGCGACAGCGTCCGGGAAACAGAGCGATAAAAAAGCGAAGAAGCCCAACATGGGACCCTCGCCCAAACGCCCCTACAGTACGGTCGTGTCGGAGCAGTTGTCGACACGAGAACATATCATATCAGATATGTTGCCTGGGTAGCAACGAGTGAGACCAAGTCCCACTCTCCTCTCACAAGACTTCTATAGGGGATGACTGCTGGTTACTGTCTCTCGACTTATACCGACAGCACACCCCAGGGAGGAATGGAGGATTTGTGTACGCCAAATCAACGCGCTAGAGCCATCTCCGTTATGTAACAGCATGTTCTCCTGCTACCATTTCATCATACCAATGGTGAGGCCGTCTGATAAAACAGACTACTGGCTCTGCAGTGTCAGTGCCCGAGCAGAAACGCTGCTCACCCGCCGAGGCAGGCAAGATATCCTCCAACTTGACCCATGGCGGAATTCTTCTTCGCCTCCTCTTCCGTAGTCCGGTGGGTTTTTTGTAAATCACTGCCCCCTGGAGTCCAACCCAATTGGTGAGGCATCAGGCCGTATGTACGACCTGATGAGGCTATCCTCATCACCCCAGGTACCCATGTCAACAAGATTCCTCTTGATACGTTTGATGAGTCACCGTGGCAAGAGGCCTTAGCTTCAACATGGATCGCTTGGGGCTGCTTCCTTCCTGGCAAACTTAGGCACAAGGTACTACAGCTACCCATGTCGACAGGAATCCTCCAGTCTCGTTTGATGGGTGTTCGTTCGCGGTCTTTTACACGTACCGCTACCATGACAAGAGTGGGGACCTCAAGCTTTAAACCAGTGGTATCTGGAATCACCTGGGGCTATCCCTAGAGCATTCTTTCTTGTTAACAGAAAATTCAATTATTTTACCTCATCAAACTTTTGTGACAGTGACAACGTGTGCATCGCGGTGCAACTCGGTCCGGTTAGTATATGGTTCATCTCATTAAACATGGCGCATGATGCAGAACCTCTCCTGCCAAGACCGCTACAAGCAGTCCTATTGGAGGCAGCAAAGACGCGTACACCGGTCGTCAACGGCTCTGATGCGAATGCACACCACACCATACGGGGCAGCACCAACACAAATGAAAGAGGTGAGCTTTTAGAATACATTCTAGGTATCAACCTTCAAAGGCAGTGAACGCATATTTATTACAGCCGTAAGGCAGAAGGTTCTGGAAAGGTCTTCAAGCTGCAACGAATACTCTCTGAGAGCCTTCTCAGACATTGAGGGGGCATTCAACAATATAATCCCCGGTGCTGTTACAGG